GGGGGTGGTTTGCTTTATATTTGACTTATGTTTGTTGTTGTGTTTTTTAGTTGTTCTCTTTTGTTGTTCTGTTTATTTGTAGTTTGTTTCTTCAATTGTTCGCTTGTTCGTTTGTTCGATCGTTTGTTCGTATGTTTGTGTGTTTGTTTGTGTGTTTGATTGTTTGTTTGCTTGTTTGTTTAGTTAGTTTTAGTAAATCATTAACAAACAGGAAGAGAAACAATTAAATGCAGCAATAAACAAGTTCAGCATGTAAAAACTCAGAAAGACGTATTTGTTCAAACAAATTGATAAATGAAAGTAGCCTATATAAATAACAACTTTTAAGAGATAAATAAAAGAACACCATTAGGATTTCCTTACCTTTCAGCATGTAGTTCAGTTGACAACGTTGTCCCCGTCCTCAATTCGAATTACTGTTCTCCCACACACAGGTCAACGTAGTATATTCCTAATTTAGACAATAATTGTGATTTTAATCTCAAAAACTAGTGAAAAAATTGTTTGGGAGAGTAAGCTTACTTATTTATTTATGTATTTTGAGACCCTGATTGAGAAGTTGATTTTTTTCTTCCTAAGAAGTGAGTTTGTGGGGTTTTTTAAATTTTTATTTGAGCACAATTGTCAAGCTCCTGATCCAAAACTCCGGCCTTTGACGACTACTTCTTCTGCGGCTGATGATAACGAATAAGTTCACGAAGAAGCTGATGGCATAATTAGGACTTTACAGAACCCACACACACGCGTTCCGCTTCTCAGTCACAAAGTACACACGCACACAAACGCACATACAAACGCGCACACACCACGTTGATCGTCCGTCGTCTTTCTGAAAAGGCCCCCTTTACGACAACTTGGAGATCCACCAGCGAATACTCGCTGGCTCGCTCGCTCGCTCGTTGGTGTGGTTGGTATGTGCCGAGTCAACTGCGGACCTTTTCGACTTAGATCATCTCGAAAGGTAAGCGCGCTGCACGCATGCGGTCACACACTGTGTGGTGGGATGAGCAATGAGCGATCCGCCTGCTCTGCGACCCCGCTCGCTCTCTTCAAAGTGACATTGGACGTGTGCTATAGGGATGGTGCAACTAAAACATTTCATTTTCAAAAGAAAAAAAAAAAAGAAATAAAGCAATAAGACGCGTTGCTACCCTCAAATTTTGAACGATTTCCTATTGCTCTGAATAGAGATAAGAACAAAACCAGTTATATGAACCTTTTT